TGACCACCTCCTTGTTTCTATGCTCATTGTCCATTTTATCAGCTCCACTTACTATACAGGTGCACTTTGTAGTTCTACAATTACAGACTGTAGTCCATCTGTTTCTCTGCATACTTTGTTAGCCCCCTTTTACCCTGTTCTTCAGTGGTCAGGACCCCCATGGACCCTCACAGAGCAGGTACTATTTGGGTGGTGGATCATTCTTAGCACTGCAGTAACACTGACGTGGTGGTGGTGTGTTAGTGTGTGTTGTGCTGGTATGAGTGGAGTGCTGCTGGAGTTTTTAAACACTGTGTCCACTCACTGTCCACTCTATTAGACACTCCTACCTTGTCAGTCCACCTTGTAGATGTAAAGTCAGAGACAATAGCTCATCTGCTGCTGCACAGTTTGTGTTGGTCATTCTCTAGTCTTCATCAGTCATCAGTGGTCACAGGACGCTGCCCACAGGATGCTGTTGACTGGATATTTTTGGTTGGTGGACTATTCTCAGTCCAGCAGTGACACTGAGGTGTTTAAAAACTCCAGCAGCACTGCTGTGTCTGATCCACTCAGACCAGCACAACACACACTAACACACCACCACCACGTCAGTGTCACTGCAGTGCTGAGAATGATCCACCACCCAAACAGTACCTGCTCTGTGAGGGTCCATGGGGGTCCTGACATTCTTTACTTTCAATGTAAGTAAATGTGAAGAGATTTTATTCCAAGCAACTTTGGAGCATTTTTATTGGTCCAGTCATCAAAGATTTTCATAAAATGTAGAGGGCAGCTGCTGTGCTCAACTTATGAAGAAAATATTGAATAAATAAATATAGAAATAAGAATAAATTTTGAAACAAAATGAGATATTTGTTTTTTTCTTGGACAGTGATGATATGTTCAATGGTTTGTAGACACCTGCTCATCCAACATTTCCTGCAAAATCAACAGTATTAAAAGGGAGTTGTTCCCTGTTATTGATGCAATAACAGCAAAGCAGTAATTGGGAATGCTTTGCACTAGATTTTGGAACATTGCTGTGAGGATTTGATTTCATTCAGCTACAAGAGCATTAGTGAGGTCAGGTACTTGATGATGATTAGTTCTGGATCACAAAATGCCACTCCACCTCATCCCAAAGGTATTGTATGGAATTCCATCATTACAGATCCACTGCTCCACAGCACAATGCTGGGGGGCTTTATACACTTCCTAACAATACTTGAGAATACACACAGTGACCTTAGGCTGTTTTGCAGCTGCTATAGGGCATTCTATTCTATTGACATTGAATTTCTATGGCACCTATACAAGCTGTGTGTGTGCAATTGTACACTTGTGTCAACAATGGGTGCACCTTAAATAGCTGAATCCAACAATTAGAGGTGGTGACTATAGTATAGACAGAGATTTGGAGTTTTGTAGTCAAACAAAATTGATAATATTGTATGGATTTTTTTTTTTGTAGCCTTCATCCACATCATTGGCTCACATGCACCTTTTATTACCATTATCATATGTAATGCACCAAGAACATAAGCAGGTGTTTCAGGCAGTTTAGCCATAAATGTAATTATTTTTAGAGACCGCCTCAGAAGGATTACACTAGCCTTTATTTCCGCAGCCTGAATGATATACTGGTAAACCTCAGAAGTAATTTAGCTGAAACTAATGAGCAGAGAGAGAGAGAGAGAAGCGGCTCCTCAGTTCAGCTAAAACAGCTTTGATGAACGACTGCTGTCCTGTGGCTTGTGCTGTCATTAGCCTGACACCAGACTGAAGTAAAATCTTAAGAAAAAGAAAAATTGATCTACCTCAATTTTCCTCTGAAGCAAATAGTTCGTCTTCAGTGATCAAGTCGATCAAGGGGGACACAATTCGTTTGCCAGTGGAATCTTGACATTAGAATAAGACAATGAGTGTTCTTATATATCTGTTCCTACAGCCTCGCAAACATCACAGCCTCAGAATACTTTCTGTGATATTTAAACATTTGCTGTGTTATTAATGTCCATACTTTCTTCCTTTTTTGCAACTCAGCATCAACTTTCATGCAACCACAGAGACTGAATAAATTTAAAGGACAAGGCATGAAAATTGGCACAAAATATTCTCAGATACGGTTGAGGTTTAATGATACTGACATGTAAGGAAGCCACTGTGATGAAGGAGATAAGGAAACAGCAGCAGGCATATATTAGGTCTATGAAAACATCTCTCTGCATATTTGATCCTCAAATAATTATCAGGTTCTTGTAAAATGAGGCATGTATAGCCCTGTGCTAAGCGGATCATAGGATCTGCCCAGTGTCTGCATGGCTCAGACTTACCTCCAGTGCAAACAGAAGCACTAAGAAATGAAAAAAGGGAAAGGTATTCCAACAGGTAGGCCTATGCTATTTACGAACAATACTGCAGTACCCTCTAGTGTCCCACTTCAAGCACTATAATGTTAATGTTCCTATTTCAGGTGCACTTATTTCCACCAATGTTGAATTCTTTCTTGTCTGCAAATGTTTCATAAGACGTCTTTCTCATAAGGAGTTCAAGCAAAAAAAGGTACTGAAGCCCTACTGCTTTTGTCAGTATTTTGTCTTTGTTTCTTCTTCTGATGACACTTTTTTGAAACATGGCAGGCTGAAGACCTTTCAATTATATAGCCTGTCCAAAAGGCCACACTTGCAGTTTTGCGTACTTGTGTGCAGAGGCAGTTTAACCTGCTTTTGGGCCCTGGGGTCACAGGTGGTTGTGGGCCCTATAGGTGTAGTTAAGATCCATAAAATCAGTACAACTCAACACAACACATCTGAGTTCCCTCCAGACTGATGTGGACAAATTACACAGGCTTTAGTAAGCATGGAAAGAGACAGTCACATGACTAACAATCAGCAGAATCTATGCTTCATTACTGTGCAATGAACGACACAGAGCGACCAAAAACTCAAAACCTTTGTTTTTAATAAAGTGCACTCACTCCTGCTGCCAGTAAGTGACTTCAAGCTTCCAACACTTTCATTCATCATCTCTATTAATGCATTAATTTAGACCCAATACTAGACCGCTAAACTCCATAGATGGTCAAGGTTTGAAATGTAAACTGTTAAGGCACTCAATGTAAAGTGCTAATCTAGTGCTAGTCATTTTCACCACCAATGATACTAGCATAGCTGATGTTGACACCACAGATAGTGAACTAGAAAAGCATTATTCTAGGAAACTTTTAAATAAAAATCTGCTTTTTACGGTTCTTCCTTTTCTTTTTGAGCATTTTTATTTTGAGTTCTGCTCTCATACATTACCAGTATGTACCAGAACCTGATTCTAACTTCTAAGTACCTGATAAAGCTATCAATCAGCATCAAAGCTGATATTTTGAATAAATAAAGCCAATCAACAGTCACAGATATGAAGATAATTATTGGTGTATTTGTGTTGCTGGGTGGAGAGGGAATAAATAAATCTTGTTAAAAAGAAAAAAAAAAACAAAAAAACAAACAGCTAATCAGAGGCTCTGAATTACTCAGGGCCCCCCCAGCCCAGGTGAGCCTGTGCATTAAATCGTCCCTGCTTGTGTGCTGTGCATGTTTATGTGCTCATCTCATTTCTAAAACATGTAAAAGCACTGCATGCAAAACCACAAAGAAGTAGTGATGGCCGAAATCTGAATAACCTAAATGCATTCAGTAATGTATTCTATTACATGAAAAAGTCCTGCGTTCAGAACACATTTTTTTTCAATACATTTAGAATGCAACTTAATAAGGCACATGGGGAAAACTCTGCTGTTCTAATTTTTGCTTAGTTCAGAATGTTATCCCTTTTTTACTAGCTAGCAGTCAACTTTTTTTTCTCCCTTTGCCTGTTTTTTAGTCCACTGTGGCTACCACAATCCCCCGAACACGAGTCCAGTACAGCACTGATGCTAATCTCATCTCTCACAAATGTGCCTACTACTGAGGAGAGTGCTTGGCTTGATCATCTCTCAAAGGAGTTTAGAAATGCTGAGATAAATAACTGACTCATCACACTGATTTATCGGTCTACTCAGTCGTATAGCAGGAACAGTATGTGCATAGAAGCCATTTGTCAAGTTCCTCTTTAGAGTGTGAAAACTAGCACTTTTGTTATATGCCAACTTTAACACTAACTTTGAAATAGATAAACAAGTATTAATTGTGTTTCCTTTTTCTTTAATTATTTAATTTTGATATATATTTTAGTGGATATTCTTGATACTTTTAGTAAAAAGTAAACGATACCTGATTAATACATCATTTCTGTATTCTCAATATGTGCTCTGAATATTTGTATTGTGGTACATTCAAACCCTGTTAGGGAAAGTGTCCAAAACAGGAAAGCAGGTCTAAGAGAAATCAGTCGAACAATTGCAGAGTGAAATAATGTTAATGAGATGTTAAGAATAAACTTCATAGGATGTTTAATTGTCTGTAATAAAAAATATATATATATTATCTGGATAATATTCTAGGATATCCTCCTCCCGTTTACAATTTAAAAGAACCAACAACATTAGACTGCTGGTGTTTGTTGAGATAGTGTGCCACACCTTAATGAATGTCATCTACTTGTCAGAGTACATACACTTTATCTTAAAACTGTATCTCTGGAGACTGGATCAGTGTTTGTATGTGAAAACGTATTTGTATATTTTGTGTCAGCACTTTCTGTGCAGAAGCTTTCAGATGCATTAAATACTTCGGAAGTCTGGTTGCTATCACCACCACTGAGGTCACACCAAACTATTCTGATTGAGTTTGTTTACTATGCAAACTTTTTGAAAAACTGGTGGAATTCCCCTTTAAGTTAAACCAGATCTCTCCACATTCCCAGAACGTTTCTAGACAACGCTGCTAGAATGTCAAACTGTATGCAAATGAGGTTGAGACTGCGAAGCTCTCATTTGATTCAATTTAACGAAAGAACCGATTCTTTCAAAGTGTCCGTTTCAAAGCACTGGCTGATTCAATGATTCAGTGATTCATTTTCGTCTTGGGGGAGGTGGGTGAGAAAAATCTTAACATCCGTAAACAAAGACTTCGTAAAATGTCGGATTAAACGGAATATCAGTGCTGCACAAAAACACTGTCTGTTAAACCGAAACCGCATATCTCTACGGAAAGTGTCTGCGGTGAATGTTAACAGAACTCATTCGGACATACATGAGGGACTTTTGTTTTGAACATAATCTGACCCGGACATCTTCACCTCAGACTGCCAACATCACAGCACACAGCTGGCGTTAGCGGCGAAGCCAGCAGTGAGCAGATAACCCATTACTGTGGACTGTAGACTTTCAGCTGCTTCGCGGGGCGCCAGCATGTAAAAGTTACCTCGGACTGCATAATGTCGTTATAATCGCAGTCGATCAGAGCCGAGAACTGACTGATGAAACGCGTCTCTCGCCAGCCAGCTGATCTGACTTATCCTTGTTAGCTAGGTGGTCCTAAATTAGAGCGGAGGTTTCTGCCACTGTGGCAGGACCTGGAATCGAGCATCGGAGAGACGCGGTTGTGCAGCCGGGTTCAATGTGCCGAAAGCCAAGACCTGGCTTTAGTGGAGCCCAGCGAGGAATATTAATGTCTTCTTTGTCTTTTCATGAAGCCGTTTCGTCTCTGAGCTATAGACGACACCTAGCTGACGTTACCTTAAGCTTGATAACAGGCAAACGCTTCTTCTTGCGTTGCTAACCAGGCTAACCGGGCATATCGAATAACTGCCGCCGATTTTTTGATCAGTCGTCAGTTTGTTTACCTTGAGGCGTTGCTGTAATTAGTAGCACACACTACCAGTCGCAATCCTAATTTACGTATCTTGTCAATTATATGCTCTTGTTTTACTGTCGAGCTTTGTGCTGTTATAAATAAGACACCGAAGTTAGCTACAGCTAGGTTAGCTAGCCTTGTATTGGCATTAGCATTAGCAGGCGTGTGTAAGCCAGTTTGTAGTTAGCTAGCAAGCAAGCAAGCCAGCGTTTGAAATGGACGACTTCAGCTCGATATGTCTCCTTTCTCTGGCTATGTTAGTGGGCTGTTATGTTGCTGGAACCATTCCGCTGGCTGTCAACTTCTCAGAGGTGAGTTATGCAGCAAATTGTTGGGTTTGTTTAGCTAGCTTGTTTCTATAGCTGACGTTATTTCCCTGGTGTTGCCAATTGCTACCACAGAAGTTTGCACGAAGCTGTCAGCTTGTTGTTCGAATTTTCCCGTTCCACCTTAAATGGTGCAGCGCCAGAATGTTACTGCTGCACCATTTAAGGTGGACCGGGAAAATTCGAACACGAAGCTGAACACCGAAGCTGTTTACTGTCTTTTATCTCTGTTAACGCAGCCTCTCTTAGGTGTAGCCTGATGTGCTAGCCAAGTTGTGTGCTTTTTGAATTTATACATTACATATAATACTACAAAAACGTTTACATAACTTTAGGGACGACGTATACAGTTAGTATGACAGGTCACTGTAAGCTTTAAAATATTGATCCATGTTCTCGTGACCCTGCCAGCTCATGTTATATAAGGTTTCATGGGCTTAAACCAAAGTCCTGCTTTAGTATTTGGTTGTGGTGATATTGTTTTAATGCTTCAGTGGGTTTATATGATGCTTTTGCATACATGTTTAAAACTGCTCTTCTCTTCTGCTCTGCTCTCCAGGAAAAACTGAAACTGGTGACTGTATTAGGGGCAGGTCTGTTATGTGGTACTGCTTTGGCTGTAATTATTCCTGAGGGAGTCCATGCGCTGTATGAGGAGGTTTTGGAAGGTGAGTGTCTCTCTCTCACAAAAAAGGGTCCTTGATTTCCATCAACAGAATGTTTAATACTGAAGGTGTACCTTCAGAGTAGGGTTGGAAGATCAACCATTTTTATATCGGCCACATAATTAAAAATCTACATTATTAGTGGGGAAATTTAATTTTAAATTTGTGAACTGCCTGTAGATGAGTTAGACCAGTCAGATCTAACCAAACCTCCATGTGTTGTGACATCACACCCACAAGTTACTGGCGGTCTCGCACACTGCATTCAGGGGTCAAACCTCAAGCCAGAAAGGTGGATATTCTGGTCTTCTTGGCCAAAAAACAGGCCTGAACCGTAATTTATAGAATGTAATCACAATTTAAATAAAAATATTACTCAGAAATATTGTAGTGAGAGATTTCCCCCCAAATCCTTCAGCCCTACTTCAGAGATCTTAAGATTTAATACAGTTTTAGATGTAGAAGTCCATATTGAGTTTGTGTTTTCAAAATATCTTGCTTCTAAAGACCTCTAATTGTATATCACACAGATTAGTTTACCACAGAAAGCTACAATTTTTAGGGAGGCACCAAAATGGGAATCATGGGCTTATGCTGATATCCAGTGTTTTTCTTGTGCGTAACTGCCAATGCTGATACATAAACATTTGTAAAGTAAACACATATAATATTGGGACTATATCTACCTGGATTAGCGTTATAGAGAGAAAAAAGATTAAATTAATAAATGCAGTAAAGGGAAGAAAATACACATTTTTTACAAATTTCTCTTCTGAAAAAACTCATGATTGAAGTAAAATCAGTTTATTCTAAAATAAGTAAACTTGAGAGTAAAGTATCCTATAACCATATACAGTGCAGTAGCCCAGCATTGCCTAAATAGTCAGCATATAGATCATCAAATATCAGTTTGAAATATTAGTCAAACACCTGTCTGATGCCGTTTATTTATTTATTTATTTATTTTTATTTTTAATGAAACTGTATTAAATTGTTACACCCTTAGGAAAACATTATATATTTATATCATCTGCCAAGTGTGTAGGATTAAGTTACCATAAAATGTTGTTAACTTATATTTTTTGTATTTGCAGCTGGGCATGCTCATGGCCATGCTGAGGTGTCTGTGCCTGAGCAGAAAGTCGCTGAAGGAGTGGTAGGACCCAGTGGTGAACATGCCCACAGTCATGAGCAGCTCCATGCCTACATAGGCATCTCTCTGGTACTGGGTTTTGTCTTCATGCTGCTGGTGGACCAGATTGGCAGCTCCCACATGCACAACAGTGATGGTCAGTGTGTTAATCTAGGCTCTGGTACAGTGTAATATTCAGATCTTTAATAATTGATATGATCAGTTTCAGTTTGTAAATCTATTTTTCTCTTCCTGTGTAGATCCAGAAGCAGCGAGGGCCGCTAGCTCTAAAGTCACCACTACTCTTGGTTTGGTCGTCCATGCTGCAGGTAAATGAATAGAATCATGGGAGGAGGAACGTACCAAACATAGTCGCAAAACAAGACACTTGCAATATTCAATGCATTTTATGTGGTTTTATTTTTGTGGAACTATGTAATGGTGATAGGTTTGCTAGCTTTTGCTTTAAACCGTCTACATTTTTTGACTATAAATGACTGACCTTTTTTTTTCTCTAGCCGATGGTGTGGCACTTGGAGCAGCAGCTTCTACCTCTCAAACTAGTGTCCAGCTCATTGTATTTGTGGCCATCATGCTTCATAAGGTACAGACAACTTACATCACAGACGTGTTGTAGACTAATACTTTAATGCATAGTCTTGTAGATAAGCGGAAATCATCTTTTTTTTGAGAGAGAGAGAGGCTGAAGTGTTGGAGAACTGCATTATGATCAGATGTGATGTCTGTTAGACGTTTCCTTGCTATGGATTTAAATTAGTTTGCCTAATTAGATTTTTCATTAAGATCAATAGCTTTTTATAATTTAAAAGTAGTTTCAGTCCTTATCTCCATTCAGAGGTGGATGTTTTCAGTATTATTGTTGTGCCTGCCCAAAGCGCAGCTTGTGTATATAACATATACTGTGTAAATCACAGTCAGATTGGCTTAATAAAAGCTTGCCTTCGATTTTAGATGAGCTGTTATGATTTTTTATCTATGTCTTTTAGTCCAGTTAAGAATGCCAAAAACATATATTCCTTATTTTGCATTTGCCAGCATATTCAGTTTCTTCTTCATTGTATGATGTTTCTCTGATTCAGAAGCATGTTCCTCCACTTTACAGGCTCCTGCTGCTTTCGGCCTGGTCTCGTTTCTCATGCATGCTGGTTTAGAGAGGAACAGAATACGCAAACACCTGTTGGTCTTCGCCTTGGCCGCCCCTGCTCTGGCTATGCTCACCTTTCTAGGCCTCAGCCAGGTATGACACTTGTTCAAACTTAAATGAAAGAGTAATGAGAAAGCAATGCTAACTGAAAATGCCCCTATTTGCAGTATCTGGTTATTTTATTGCACCCTGTTAGCTTACTGATTCTATCAAAAATAATTTACCAAAACCACCGTATTAAAGTATTAATTCAACTTTTGACCATGATTTTATCGTTGTTTTGTGTTTTAATGCATATTTTACAACGGTTAGTTCTGATGACATAATCTGATTGGTGGAGAAGTGTTCTACCTCTGTCACTCTGCTGAGCAGCAGTTGCTAAGTAATGATTTACTTTGTGCTGCAATTAACTGTTGCTAAGTTTCTACTTTAGCACATGCAAAAATAGAAAAGGAGCACATTAGCTAGCATCTGTAAGACAATGTTATCTGCAGCCCATTTGCTCAGATTCTAAAGAGAAGTGTTACTGCAGGCCTATGTCAAATTATGATCATGATGTTGCCCTTAAGCAGGCTTTTCACTTGGCGACTTTGATGGTGGAATAACTGAACAAACTGGAATTGGCTTGACACAAACAGAATACAGTTCAGTAAACAAGATGATGTGCTGTGAAATGCTTTACAGACAGGCTGGAACAAAACAACGTCTGGGTCACTTTGGCAGATATTGAAAAGCTGAGCCATATCTTATGTTGCAACAGTTTTATGGGTGTATCCGTACAGCAAAAGGCTACTTTATTGGCGGAAGGTATTGCCAGTGTTAAAACATTTGATATGTTCAGGGCTTCTCTGCTTTAGAACAGAATTGATGTGTAAAAGTAATGGAACACCTAAGGTTGTTTAATAACATAGCTCTGGTAGTCTTTGCATTTCATGTATTTACTGCCATAAGTCAGAGATGAGTATTTTAGAAAATGTTGGGGATGTGATATATATTATTTTAAACTGTCTGGTTCCTGGGATTCTCTGTTTTGGGATAATAACACAGTTTTGTAAATACAAGAAGTAGTGCCTGTTTTATTTGACCAAAGCACTTCCTAAAAGTACTCACTGTTATGTTTACAAAGATCACTTGGGCTTTCTGCAAAAGGCAGTGATGTTGTGACTAGCTTATGTGAAAATACAGTACAAGCTATTGGTATTTACTGTTAATAAAATTGAACATAATATTTTTCGGCAACCTTATTGCCACTTGTATCCAATGTCTATCAGTAAATCAAAGATAATTCCTTGCCTAGAAGATGCGACCTTATTAACAGTTTTCCGGGTTATAAGAGACACATGGGTCTAAGTGCCCTAAATATAAGTTTACTGAAGTAGCCGATGTTTTCTCTGCAAACAACTATGTGTACTAATAGTGAGCAGACTACAGGTTGGAGACCCTGGTGTAGACAGCCTGTAGGTCAGCTATAATTAAGGATTCAGCATTTATTGTTTAATAGAAGCAGTGATCTAACATTTCCTGTGTCTTTTTTCCATTCAGAGCAGTAAGGAGGCACTGTCTGATGTTAACGCCACTGGAGTGGCCATGCTCTTCTCTGCTGGCACGTTCCTGTATGTAGCCACCGTGCACGTCCTCCCTGAGGTGGGGGGCACAGGAGGCCACAGCCACTCACCTGGAGGCAGCGGTGGGAAAGGACTGAGCAAAGTGGAAGTGCTGGCACTGGTTTTGGGCTGCCTCATCCCACTGGTGCTCTCCATTGGCCACCAGCACTAGAGTGGCTAGTAGTGGAAAACTGTTGACAGCAAACATGAGACCTTTAGCAATGGTGGCCAAACACCTCATGTCACAGGTTTGAATTATGTTTGTCTGTTTAACCAAATTGGAGGTTAGAAGGGATTTGAATAGATTCAACTCGGCGTGCCTCTCAGTGGGAACCGAATCTGTGGCATGGCAGTGGACTTATGGAAGAGGGCGGGACAACAGTGTGAATACATGACCATAACCCCTTCCTCTCTTCCTCAGAGTACTGTATGCCAACAGCTGGCATTAACCATACACAAGTGAATGCCATTGTGGGTTCATGTTGGGTTTTGTGTGTTTTTTTTTTTTTTTCCCTTCTTAAACCTCTTCTAGATATCTTTCAACTGTACTATGGTTTATGTTTTAAGCCAGGCAGTGGTTAGTTCCCAGTATGTACTCTGGAAATGGGTTTTCATCAGTTTCTCTTTAACAACAAATGTATCAAATTAACTAAAACCATCACTGTTTGAATTTTTGAAATGAGGGACAGATATAAAGATCTGCGCAGACATTTTGACTCACACGATGAAAACTTTTTAATCATGGCAATGCAGTTTTCATAGCTTAATAGTTTCTTTTATACATTTCTGAGCACGTAACAGTATGCATAAGATGAATAACAGTATGTCTGTTATTCCAGCATGCTTTATAGTATTAGTCGTCTGAGTCTAAAATAAGACTTCACATCTGGACAGTAACCTGTAGACATAAGTGCAACAATATTGCCTTGTCAACATGCCGCTTGTGGTTGGTATTTATTTTCTGTGCTATTACTTTTTTCTGATCTTCTTGATTTGTCAAGCAAGCTGCCAGTCAAGAAGATCACAAGTTTTGATTGGAGGCCATCTTGAATGAAAAGACTTGAGAAGAATATTAGCTTTGGTCCCAAAAAGGCATCCGTTCATGAACCTGATTCTTTTATGATCTGATTTCATGTGTGCCCACTTAACGTACTCAACTTTCTTACTGCCAAACAAGATTTTCTTTCTTTAATTCTTTAATTTTTAAATATGTATAGGTACTAGTGAGACAAAAATGGTGTCTATTTTTTTGGTGGTGATAACTGAAATGATGTAATTGTCTTTTATACTCATGTGGGACCACAGGTCATGTTTTCATGTTAAGTAGATGATGACTGTAGGATGGAGAGTATGTTTCTAGCATATATCTAGGATATTTTACATTCCTTAGAAAATGCCAGGGACATGGAGAGAACCCGGAGCAACTTCTAAGTGGCCAGGATGCGTGTTTGTTTCCCAAATTGTCTGGAAACTATTTTAAGAACAATTTAAATTCTGAAGCTAGTTGACTTGAAAGAAGTGCTCAAGCTTCTTCTCCTTTGCGCTTGCTACCTGTCACTCTCACACCGGTTTAGCTGCTCATCTCTTTCTGAAGCATCTCTGCGCTCCGTTCCTGTGGTCAGGGCGTGCAGTGTTTTCAGTGTAACTATTGTGGTGCCTGCCCAAAGCAGAGCTTGTGTATATAGTGTATTCTGTACAAATCACAATCAACTGGGCTTAATGGAAACTTCGCTTTACTTTTAGGCATCCTGTATTGAGTTTTTACTCAGTCTTTTAGTACAGTTTAGAATGCCAATGTGGAAAAAAGGCAAGGGTGTGGGGTTGGTTCAAACAGTGGGTAGGGAATGTAATAAATATTTTACAAGAATCACAGTAATGCTACATTTTTATTGGTTGTGAATTCTTTTGTGTCAAGCATAGTTGTGATGAGAACTGAAGAGGCTGTTACAGTTCAAATGTGTGGCTTAATATTTAACCGATTGGTAAGATGGAAACACTTGGACTGTATCGATTGTGTAACACCAATGAATCTTGAGTCACACTCAAGACATTGTTTATGTTGCCATCATTGAAACCAGCTTTCTGAGTTACTGAAAGACAGATTCTCAGAAATGAATGAATGCATTATTAATAACTTTCCTGAAGCAGTCAGTTTGGTAAATACACTGCATTTCCTAGGGCATTTGGCAGTGTGCTCTTGAGCGCCCTCTTTTGTGGTGTGCTGGCACTGTCTCAGTCTATGTATATGGAGGTTTAAAGGACCCATATCGTACATTTTTCTTGTAATTTGTTTTTTTTTCCTGAGGTCCACTTAATGTTTATGTGGCTTTCTATACCAAAAAAGTCATTTATGTCGTTTTACATGACCAACTGTTTATTCCTTAAACAGGCTTTGTTTGTTATTGTGCTTTTAAGACTGATATATGTAAACTATGCCTGTTTTGATTGGCAGCCCTGTAATGTGCCTTACTGAAAAAAAGCAGTCCAGGCTTAAAAACTTAACTCCTTATAACTTCAGTATGAATGGGCGGAGCTATCCAGCTGTAGGCTGAATAGGTGAAAATATGTAAATTATATGATCTGAATTCAAAACAGGCTGTATTTTTGTGTAGTTTTCATATATGGACCATATAGATTAGAGAGTGGTACATCTAAAACTTTAACAATGTTTACATATTAATATCAAAAAAGTGAGGACTTTTTTCCCCATTGATATGCAGGGGTGTGTGGATGCTTTATGCTGACTAGCAGTTGTACTAAGTTTTAAAGATTTTATGGATATAAAAAGTTTATAAGGGAGGTAAAAGCAAATGGTAGTCAGATGTTATTTTTCTTTCCGTTTCATTCCTTTTGGTCTCCTTATGGGATCTCATCGCAGTCTGACAGGCGGAGATGTGCAAGAGGAAATATGGCAAATACTGCGGTCATTTGCGCAGGACTACTGCAAGAGATGATAGTGTCATTGTGATGGAACTTTAGATTGACACAGCGAATGTGAGGAAGAATTGTGATCAGTCAGTGAAGAAGATTCTGCTGTTTCTTTTTCTTGACTGTGTTTTTCACTATTATTTTTTGATTTTGTGTTTATTGGGGTATTTTTCCCCCCATTACTAGATTATACACTCACTGGTCTTTTATAGAAACCTATACCATACATGTGCAACTTTTTGATGTACAGTTAAAGATTTTAGCTCATCTTTTGATACACAATTTAGTCGGTGGTCAGTTTCTGGCCATAGAGCTGCTCTTGGCTGGATATTTTTGGGTAGTGGCCCATTCTCAACCCAGGAGTGACACTGATGTGCGTAAAACACCTTGAACCAGCAACACATGCACTACTACTAGGTCACTACAGTATTAAGAATAGTTTGCCACCGAAAAAATATCTGGTCAACAGCAGTCATGTGGTCAGAGACTGACCAGTGATGAATGGGGTAGGGAGTGGTTGACAAATTGTACATGACAACAGATGGCCTACAGTCTGTAATTGTACACCCACCACTCACTGGCCACTTTGTTAGGTACATCTACCTTGTATCTACACACATTGTACATTTTATCAGCTTAATATAAGTACACTTTGTATTTCTACATTTGCTCACTGTAGTCCATCTGTTTCTCTGCACAATGTGTTAGCCTTTCTGTACCCCGTTCATCAGTGGTCAGGACCACCATCGAGGAGGTATTATTTGAGTGGTGAATCATTCTCAGCACTGCGGTGACACTGGCATGGTGATATGTTATTGAGTGTTTGCTGGACACACAGCAGTGCTGCTGAACTGAGAACAGCCCACCAACCAAAAGTGTCCAGTGAACAGCGTCCTGTGGCCAGAGACTGACCACTGATGAAGAACTAGAGGATGACTGACACCAACTATGCAGCAACAGATGAGCTATCGTCTCTAACATCTACATCTACAAGGTGGACCAGCAAGGTAGGAGTGTCTAATAGAGTGGACAGTAGGTGTGTTTAAAAACCAGTACAACACTTACTAACATGACAATACCACGTCAGAGTCACTGCAGCGCTGAAAATGATCCATCTTGCAAATTATACCTTCTCAGTGGTGGTCCTGTGGGGTCTTGACCACTGTTGACTGGGGTTACAAATTACGCAGAGAAGCTACAGTCTGTAATTGAAAGGTTTTGTTAAAAAATGCATTACAGACAACTTTCAGGAACTTTCTCATATACATTGTTGGAAATGGGCTTTATATGTACAAGAAATATCAAGGCTTTAATCTGATTAGTACCACTTTAATTTGAGAAAATGTATTTTTTCCCATTATACAGCAGCTTAAAAAGTATATATCAAAATGATTACAAATAATATACAGAAATTTGAAATTGTTAGATACATAACTAGATACAGAATAGTTGTTTCTGAAAAAGTAGCCTGTGAGTGTATATAGTGAACCTATAAGGTAGGTAGATCTCATACAGTGGCCAGGTTTTGGAATATTACTCAGCACAAATCCACTAGATGCACAGCCCAGAGGTCTTAATCCCTGATGAATGAATGCCCCAAATACTCTCAGATGTGTGCCATATATTAAGTGTGAATGTTCTATTGGCATTTGTGATGTTAAAAGCTGTAAACAAGGATGAATGGCACGCCTTTCTGTCTTTAATGTACATCCGTGAAAAACAACCAGGCAGAAACATGCTTGTGAACCTGACACGCAGAAGGGCCGTAAAGCAGATTAATGCGCTGTGTAAGTGGACGGATTGCTCTTTTATGTAAGCGTCGGTGTTGCTGTAGGCTGGGATCTCCACCTCCCACTGCTTAAAGTGTTGCAAGTGGTGTAATCCGAGTAACAGCTTTTCATATGAAACGTCTATTGACCATTCCTCGGATTTAGAAACTCATCTTTAAAGCCCCCCCCCCTCTCTCTCTCTCTCTCTCACATCCCTGCTCTAATGTTCATGTTATCCGATGCCAGCTGCTGATGCCACTATTGGCAAACGCATCATTCCACCTCACTGAATTATTGGAAGTTTTCCTCATTGGCTTTGTGTGTTGTTTGTTTGCTTTAAAGCGTATCCCTCTATTTTTAACACCCCCCACCCCCTTTGAAAGTGCCATGTTTTCCTCGTCCAAACCCTCTTTATTTTCCCCCTGGACCTCCATGGAGCAGGCTGACTCAGACGTCCTGGACATCAGCACTAAGGTGCAGCTGCATGGGGTGCTGTGGAAAAGACCCTTTGGAAGACCATCTGCCAAGTGGTCCCGAAGGTATTGCGTGGCACCCACTGTACACATCTGTTGAAAAGATATGGGATTTGCTAAAATTAGGATTTCATTTGCTTTTTGCTAAGATTGATGTTTGGAGCATCAAAGTATGTAGGACAATTTTAATTGTTACATTTGTTAACCAGTATTAAGTCTTTTCTTCAATGCTTTGATAAGTTTGATGATGTAAATGTTCCTGTTGAAAAATGTAGAGCACTTTGATTGAATTTCAGCACTGAACATGAAAAATGTAAATCTTGTATTTGGTAGAAATAATTTCAGAGGAGAGTAAAATGGAACTAGATGTCTTCCATTTACTGCGCCATTCACTATGCACTGAGGCTGAGGATAGAAAATGCATTAGAGCCTTATTGACCTGCATGCTTTAAATGTAATGTTGTGCTGAGCTACAAAAATGCATTAGGATGTTCTATAGGAAGACACTAAGTTTATCCACTGTACTCGGAATGTGAAGACTAATCACTCTCTTTGTAAATCAGTGCTTTACCACTCCAGACAAACTATTTCTTTATTTAACTTTGTGGTGTATGTTTGTTTAGTAAAAGAAAGACTGCTGAGACATTCTCAGTGTCGATTTTGTGGAGTTTTTATGGTTTCCATCAAACAATTGTTGAGATTTGTAAACTAGTCTGCTGTGTTAATGTTCTGGCTTTGAAAATGTGTCATTATCTTCCTCTTACCATTCCTGAGTAACATAACCCTTATGCTTTACATTGTAGACATTTTGCAGCATTTGTTTGTAACAACATATGCTGCTAAAAATGATATCTTGGCATATGAAAAACATTGTCAATATATAGTCATATGCAAAAGTTTGAACATCCTGGTCAAATTCCAAATGAAAAAATATGGAAAGAATATCTGAAATATGGCACTTTCTGCACATTTAATGCACAGTTTCTATGTATTTGCTGAGTTTAACATATTTGGAAAACAAAGTATGTATAAAGTGTGCCATGACTTTTGCAAGGGCCACATTTCAGGTTTCAATTTTTTCAGTATGTTAATTTCTACAAATAAACAGTAATTCTGCATTAAAATGTGCATTTAGTTTTACTTAAAATATCAACAAAACATGTCATTTGACCAGATGCACCAAACATGAGATTAATTCTTATAAGATTAAATCTTTTAAGAACATTGGACCTTTTCAACATGTTTTACTCGTTTTAAATCATTTTATGTAGAGAAACTCCATATTCAAGTGGCAGATATAACGCTTAAAACAAGCAAAATTATCTACCAATAGAAAGACAAAGGATAAGAGTAAGAATTTTACTCAATACAATGTCAACAAATTAGTTAATCTAATAATATACTTATAACAAATGAGAAATATTAGATATATTGATTTTCACTTGCCAAACTGCCATTTTTTGCAGACCCCGTATTTGGCCTCTGTCTCATTTGGCTTTTTTGACCATGTGCTCTCACACTGAACAGGTTTTTCATCATTAAGGACAGCTTCTTGCTCTATTATGCTGAGAGTGAGAAAAGAAACTTTGAGACTAATAAGTACTTCAATATTCATCCAAAGGTAAGTCCACCTACTGAGACTATACTGAAATTAACAATATAGATCTACACTATGTGGTCAAAATATGTGGACACCCCTCCTAATTATTGAAGCCAGGTGTTTTAGCCACACCCATTGCTAACAGGTACATGAAGTCATGCACATAGCCATGCAATCTCCATAAACAAACACTGGCAGTAGAATGGGTCATACTGATAAGTTTAGTGACTTTCAACATGGCACTGTCACAGGTCAGTTCATGAAATTTCTGTCCTGCTAGATCTGCCCCAGTCAACTTTAAATGCTATTATTGTGAAATGGAAGCATCCAGGAGCAACAAAAGCTCAGCCACAAAGCAGTAGACCATGGCCGCTGAGTGCTGAAGCATGTAATGTAAAAAGCACCTAACCTCTGTACAAGAACTGTGCATCGGGAGCTTCATAAAATGGGTTTTTATAGCTGAGCAGGAGCGCACAAGCCTGAGATCACTATGTGCAGTGCCAAGTGTCGGCTGGAGTGGTGTAAAGCACACCGCCACTGTACTCTAGAGCAGTGGAAATGTATTCTCTGAAGTGATGAACCGCAGTATCTGGCAGTCTGATGAATTAATCTGGGTTTGGCAGACGCCAGGAGAACACTACCTGCCAGAATGCATAGTGCCAACAGTAAAGTTTGATGGATGGAGGGATAATGATCTGGGGCTGTTTTTTGGGGTTTTGGCTCAGCCCTTAGTTGCAGTGAAGGATAATGGTAATACAACAAAATACAAAGAAATTTTAGGCATTTATATGAGTCCAATTTTGTGGAATCTCGTGGAAAGCTTCCCCAGAATAGTGAAAGCTGTTACAGCTGCAAAGGGGGTGGTGGGGGTGGAGGATCAACTCTCAAATCTATATTAATGTCCATGGTTTTGGAATGTGATGTCTGACAAGCACATATAGGTGTGACGGTCAGTTGTCCACAAACGTTTGGCCATACTGCGTACATCAGCCTGTAATACTGGAGCCACTGATAAGTCTATTGTTTTTTCCCAGGGTGTTATTCCTCTAGGTGGATGTGTGGTTGAGGCTAAAGAAGACCAGGGCATGCCTTTTGCCATGGCTATCAACCATGAAGATTTCACTGTATGCTCCATTTCTTATGATCTACACTACTGAGTATACTGCAGTCAGAGCATTGCATTGACATGGCTGCCTTTACTCTCCACAGGGGGAAATAGTCTTAGCAGCAGAGTCAGAGTCCGAGCAGATCCAGTGGCTGGAGATGCTGCAAGAGTCTGGGAAAGTGTAAGGAACAACTTTAACTTGCATGGCCGGTTTATTGGAAACACCAACCTTACGCCTCTTGATTGAGTACAGTTAGAGACTGTTGATGCACTGTTTTTGTTAGCTATTCTATAGCTGATTGCTCTTGGCTTAGGCGGTGCTGGAAGTGGGTATATTTACAGATTGCAGAATCAAGAAGTAATGTTAATAATATGATTATGGGATGTGATTTAGACAGACAGTCATCAGCCTGGATTTTGAAACATGTATGCTTATTGACTACTTAAGCATTGAAATTTAGAATTGAATGATACTTGGTGAAATTGAAATAATTCAGCACCATAAATGTATTGCATTTTCAGTACCTAGCCCTGCTCTTGACTGGGTTGCTTTGTTTGGTGGACCACTCTCAACCTAGCAGTGACACTAACATGTAAAAACCACATCAACACTGGTGTGTCTGCCAACACCACACACAATAGTCATATTAGTGTCACTGTTGTGCTGAGAAAGATCTGCCACACAAATAATGCCTGTTCAACAGCCATTCTGTGGTCAGAAAACTGACCAATGGTGGCTTTCAAATGATAAAAGATGGGCTGCAGTCTGTAATTGTGCACATGGGTATAAATGTTAATATGTAACTGAACTGTAATATGTACAATATTGAACAAAGTTAGTGAAGGACCACTTTTATATATATATTTAAAAATTCAATTCAAAATTGATGTTCAGCGTCTGTGAGGTCTTTGCTGTGACACACTGTTTTTCATGCACACCATGACTGAACATCACAGAAATAAAAATTAAAAATGAAGAATTGAGATTTTTCTACTGAATAAATTCTGAGTAGGACAAAGAATACACAGAAATCAATATTCTGTGGTTTAATATTATTTTGAGCTAATTTTCATGCATTAAAAATTTGCAAACGACTGTATGTGGACCTGTAAGGCAGCTAGTGAGTTAAGTACAAAGTCGAAATACAGTGTTGTTTCTAATAAAGCATACAGTGCATTTATATTTGTAAACCATCAGCATGTACAGTATAAGGCATACAAGCATATAACATAACACATTGTGTTTTTTAAAGTATTATTGATTTGTCCTCAGCACTTGGAAGAATGCTCAGCTGGGAGAGGCTATGATTGAGAGTCTGGAGGCTCAGGGACTACAGCTAGCCAAGGAGAAACAGGAGTACCTAGGTGAGTCTTATGAATGCATCAGAAGCAAAGAGACTTCAGTTAGAGTGGATTATGCTTGGAAAAGCTTTGGCCATTCGCTTTGCACATACAGTGTTTTAGAACATATTTAAACATAGAACACAGAACATTCTGCTGTGAGCAAAACCTAGTGTTCACATATATATATGTGAGATATATTATATCTTTTTGCAAGCATAGTTAGTTAGCACAAAGATTGTGGCGGTTTGGCAGAGATAATGGCTTAGCTGCCACGTTGCTGACTGTGTTTCTGTTTCTACAGATAAACTCATGGAGGAGACTGAAGAACTGAGCTTACAGAGAGAACAGAAGGCGGTTAGTTTGTAGCTCTTATTTATTTTAGAGGTACATATAAAAGTAAATGTTCTGTTTGTAGTGTTCCAAGTCAAGCGGTTGATTTGTGTGTGTGTGGTTTTGTGTATGCATATGTGTGCATGCACACACTTTTCTGTGTCAAACATCGCATGACAAATGTGACATTTGCCCAAAGGCATTTCTTTGCATGCTTCATGCTTATGCTTTTTGTGAGGGAATGTTTGTGTGTACACACGTTGCAGGAGCTGGAGCGGCTGAACCAGGTGTTGGAAGAGGAGAAGCAGAAGTTTGAGGAGGTGGTGATGGAGCTCAGAGCAGAGCAGGAGCAGATTAAACTGTAAGCTTTACTCTGAGTACTCATGCGCTGCATGTGCTCTAACTGCATGAAATTAGTTGCCTTTTTTTGTTTTAGTTGTTTATCTTGCTGGCTTTGTGTTTTTGGAAACCATGTCATGTGGGAAGAACATTCTCTTAAAAATATAAGTTTCTAAATTGTTATTGGCTTGAATGTACAGTTCTAGACCTTTGATTATAAAGGACTTTTATATAATGTGGAAGTTCTTTAAGTGTGCTTTTATGCTCCCACATTTCATTTAATAAAATGTAATAAAAGAACCTCTGAAAGGTTCTTTAGGGCACCAAAAGTATCACACCAAAGAACCATTTTTGGAACGTTTATATTTAAAAGTGGAGTACCTGCAGAGGTAAACTGTGCCACAGCATAATTAGGTTTTAAGGACATGGTTTGCAAAATGCAGCTAATATAAAGAGAACCAGAGAGTCCATATGTAACCCTGTGGTGTGTTGATAGGGATCTGGATGGGACAGCTCAGTCACTGAAAGGAGTGGAGTCAGAGAAACAGGAGCTTCATAATCTCACTATCCTGCTGCAGAAATCTCTTGAGGTGCAGAAAGTTGGACGTGTCAAAACTGGTTTAATTTGTTTACCAGATTGACTGATATTCTCAATGATGATACTCATGATATATAATATAATATAAATTACCATTATATATTATCAACCAGAAGGCCTCCATATATACATTATGCACAGCAGTAGTACATATATACACTATAGATACAGTACTATGCAAAAGTAAGATACCACCCTTTAATTTAATTTTCAGACAAAAAGGCCTATAAAAAGTTTAGTCTTGTTCGGTTGGTTGCATTTTATCTCCTCAGAAATATCTTTTTTGAAACGTTTTTGGTTTTAGATGCACATTAAAAAGAACTAATGCATCAATGCACTAATGCACAAGGCATCTAAGGTGTGTATGGGTAGTTGCTTGTGTGAATGTCAATGACTCTTTTGGGAAGAAATTTTGTTGAAAAGAAGTGAGAACAAATTGTGTTGGAAAGAAGCAGCTGTGATTCGTTTTGTTTTAAGATTGGAAAGATAGAAGAGTTAAAGAAGTCACAGTAGATGCACAAAAGTAAGTGGACAAATTAAATATTGATAGATAGTATACTTAGTGTTTCTGACACTGAATAACTGTGAATAAATTGTACTTAATTGCTGGAAATTGAATAAATGAAAGGGTGGCCTCTTACGTAGGTACAAGCTTGTATGTACATATCCACTATATTAATATACGATCACTGAGCACTTTATTAGGAACACCTACCTTGTACCTACACTTCTACTCCGTTTTATCAGCTCCCTTACTATATAGGAGCACATTGTAGTTCTGCAATTACAGATTAGTCCATTTGTTTCTGCATAACAAATGTGTTGTTAGCCCTCATTTACCCTCATTTATATATATATATATATATATATATATATATATATATATATATATATATATATATATATATATACCAAATCAACCAAATAGTTACAGAACCTCAATCAGATAAGTAGATTATATTTGCACAAACAGACAGACAGTTGTGTGGTGCATGAAGAGTTTTTGTGCCTGTTCAGGAGCTGTCGAAGGAGAAGCAGCGCACTCTGGAGCTGCTCAGAGACCGCGGGTTGGCTGGAGCTGAGCTGGGCACTGCTGTTCAGCCTTCTTCTCCAGACTCTCAGCGCCCCGAGGCACCAGAGGAGCAGCTGCAGGGCAACCTGCGCCACATCGAGGAGCAGATGAGGAGTGTGCTCAGGGAAAAACAGCAGGCTGAAGAGAGGTAAGAGTCCAATGAGATATGTGCTCTAACACAGGCCAAACATTCTTTCTGTAATGGAAAACTCTAGACTAGCTTGCAACGGAAGCCTTTTCTGCACAAAATTAGGTCTTTTATTGATTTTGGTAGTAGAGGAAACACTGGTCCTTTTTTATATAAATGTGCTGCCTTTGAAAGTATTCATTCTGAAAATGTGTGTTAAGGAATGGACAGATGTGTGAAGACCCCAGTGCCTCACCCCAGGCTCTATCAGCGTTAATGGAGGGTGGAGGCCACTAAGTGGAAATGTCCATTGATTTGCAAACAAGCAATCATATTGATCAGACACCAGTGAGTGGCGCGCAATACTGAGGAAGTAGATTGACTAGAGGCTAGTAATGACCTTATATACATGGCATGCGTGAGCGGAAGCTCTATTTCATGAACCATTTACACGAGAGCTCCATGCAGTAATAACACTTAACAGAGCTTTAGTTATTTTTCACAGTGCTTTTACTCAGGGCGATTAATTACCATACAGCAGAGTTTTTGTGGCAAGCCGTGCAAAGTACCTCATGTATTTATTACATTAGTGACTCTCTAGTGATTTGAAAGCTTAGTTTTTTGCAGCCCCATCAAGCAAGGGCTGATATTAATGTACTGTAAGCTGCCTTTCAGTGTTTCTGCAGTTCATTCAGTCAGTAAATGTGGATTTATTGCTCAGATTTATTTACAGTACTGTGCAGAGACTTTTAGAGTCAGAGAGTCTTCATTTATATAATTTTCTGTCAAAACAGCCATTGAGTACAAGTTATTTAGGTAACACCTTATTTGGAGTGGTCCTTTGTGCATGATTGATAAACTCTTAACAGATTGTCAGTAACACATAAAAAACATAGCAGTGAAGTAGCAGTAGTGAAGCATCTGAATACATTGAAGAAAATATCTTGTAGATGTTCTGTTGATACATTACGTACATTAAGTAGATGTTTTGTTAATATGTTACTTCCATTACACAAAACCTAACCTTACCCAATACCTAACCCTAACCTTAGCCTCAACCCAAAACCTAACCCTCTCCCTCATATGTTTTTGACATGTTACTGAGAGTCCATTGAGTGTTTGTTTAATCTAAAAGCGCCACTCAAAATAAAATGTCACCATTATTTATTTTTCAGCATCAGGATAAAAGATGAAAACATGTATTTAACAGAAAATTATGCTAAATTACAACTAAATATAATATCAATATTTCCAGTATTTAGTGTGTCCACTCTTTGGTGGCTTCCATTCTTTTTAGAAGACTTGTTTTCAGTTTTTTTTTTTTTTTAAGAAATCCACAGGGATACTTTTCCATACTTCTAAAGTTCAGTCTTGGTTGAAATTTCTGCTTCTCACAATCCAAATAATTCCAAACACCTTCAGTCATGTTAAGGTCTGGACTCTGGGGTGGACAATCCATCAGTCTGAGACCATCAGCAGCTTCTTTGTTCGATTTAAAAATGTTCTTTTTTTTGTCTATTTACTTTTCTTGGTAGCTTCTGGACAGCTACACATCCTTTCAAACCCATAGCATTAAGTTGTCAACAGTGGAAGGATGGACAGAAACACCTGCAGATTTTTTTTTCAGATCTGAAGCAACAGTGGAGTTTGTGATTTTCTTCTCTCTCTCATAGGAAAGCTTAAGGTGCTGTTCATCTGATGGTGACAGTTTTGGTGGTCTAGATCTCATATCTTTGGAGGTCTAGATGTCATATCTTATCTCCTGAAAACGAGTAACTTATACTTAATGGCCATTTTGACTGGAAATTCAATAAAGGAAAGTAACCTCTGAATTTGCACAGTACTGTACATTCAGAAAGCCTTTCCAACAATCATGAAAGGGGTTTTGGTATTCTGTCCATGGCACTTCAGCTTCAGCAGGCCCTTATTTTCTGTTTTTTATCTTGAGCACTGCTTTTTTTTCTGAGTCTGAATCGATGGAATGCTCAGAGAGAACTTTGGCTTAGGGCAAAATCATAAGAGTCACCGAAAAGAGTTACCGTACAGCAGGAGGTTCTAATCCAGTCCACACTTCAGTCATGTTTAAGCTCCTAACACACCTCAGCCAATTAGCATTCTTTAGACTTTGATTATATGGCTAAAGCCAAAATGTAGAGTGGATGGGGTCTCTGACAGATGGTGTGCAGACTTGTTTATTAATGCTTCCACCAGTTTTCCCCTCTGCAGTATGTGGATGTGCCTGTGAGTGAGTGCTCATTGTCCCCCCTGCAGGCTGAAGGAGAACGAGCAGCGGGCACAGGTTCTGCAGAAGGAGAGAGAGTTCTACTCCTCTCAATCTCAGGCCCTCCAGCAATCTCTCAGCCAGCTCACAACCGACAAGCAGCAGATTGAAGGCGAGCTGAAGGTCAGTTAGAGGCAGGCTGCAGTTTAGGGCTGCAACTAATGATCATTTTTATAGTCTATAAATTTATTGACTATAATTTGATTAAATAATTAATCAACCTTTGTGCCATTTGCAGTTTATTCTCATTTTGCCTCATCACAGCATCACCATCATTCAGAGTTCTGTCTGTACAGCAAATATTTTCTTCTTTTATGATGCAACAGAATTACAGAAGTCATGTCACGCATAACTCTTCCTCTAATGTTCTGTAATCTGTCACAATGACCGGGTGTATTATATAAATGTCACAGACTGTTATAGAGTGCTGTTATTTTTAAGTAAACAACAGATTGAGGCAACGGCTTTTTCCATAATTATTGCCATCAGTGACTAATCATTGTCTAATCATTCATCCTATTACAGCACAGGACTGGAGAGAAAAGTATTTAAGAAAAACAACTGGATAATTAATGAATCAGTGCACTGTAAAAAATTGCTCACATCAGTGAGTAAACATCCCTCATAGTCTTGTAAAGTACTGGCAACTGAACCGACCTACAAAGCAATTAGTGTCATTTGCTGTATGCATATTTATATGTGTAGTTTATCATAGTTTTAAACATTCTATACTCTTTAGCTGTAAAATATGTCTCGAATAACTGTAGATGTAGATGTAGGATCATGCTTTGTGTTCATAATAGTTCATGTGGTTATATCAGTGGTGTACCATGACTACTAGAGGTAGGCCTTTGGGCCATAAATGGCAAAACTTGGCCAGAAATGACTGGCTGCTAGTAGTATATTAGCACTAAGCTGTCAGCGATTCAGAGTATTTTTTGGCCACTCTAGATAAAATGAGGACATTTAAAGCTTGTAAAAGACGTTTAACCTCCTTTATACAGGAGAGCGCCCCCATGTGGCCAATCACAGACCTACTCATAATGCAACAAAAGAGGGAAAAGGCTATCACGACCGGGGGTTGTAACAGAACAAAAATAAACTAAAAATTACATCATTAATCTAGAAGGCCCCCCTCCCGGAGTTTATATATAAATAGAATTACAATATAATTACTGTAATTTTTTTCTTCCCCCAATGTGAAGTGCACGCAACCAAAAGCAAAAGAAAAATCAGGTCTTCTCAAGTTGCAGTCAGCTGCCAGTAATACAGACCTTATAGAGTGCAGTAAGACTTTGTGCTAATGCACCTCTGTCAGACTGTGATGGTATTATTATATATACAGATGTATCTTACCATACTGTATTATCAGGTTACATGGATTCTTGTCTGTGTCAGCACATCCACTGCTGTATTACTTCTCAGTGAAATAGCAATCAGTAGAAAGTCTCTATACTCTGTTTTGCTGTCTTTCTCTTTTGAAACACAAAATTATATGTAACTTTACAGGAGAAGGCAAAACTTTTTTAACTTTTAATGTAAGTAATAATCTTTTGAACCCCTTTGTCATGTAATGTTCACACATTGTAAAGGACAGTTTCTAGTCACAAAAGACAATAAAGGCAATAAATAAATTTGGGGACATTGTTGAAATCTATTTTTGGGGCGCATTTAAAAAAAATATGATGGTGATGCTGTATATATGTGTATATATATATATATATATATATATATATATATATATATATATATATTTATTTATATTTTATTTTATATATATATATTCATTTTGGAAATAATTAATACATAGGCATCAATTTTCTCTAAGATGATCAAAAACATACTTTCGATCAGGTGTGTCGCTAAACATTGGACACAAGTCATGTGTTCGATGTGTTTGTGTTTGCATGTGGGTGCATATGTGTATGTTAGGCTGAGATGGAGTCCCGTGCAGAGTTAGAGCAGCGGCTGAAGCTGGCTGAGGAGGCCCTGAAGGATCTGGAGCAGGGTCTGAACTGCATCGAGCGCAGCCACGAGAGAGATGAGAAGATGAGAGGAGATGTCAGCCACCTCCGCAGTGAGTTGACTCATAATAAACCATGCATATTCATAACATCAGTTCTCTGTCCTCTTCCAGAATTCCTGAATGGTTTCATCTCAGTGCTGGCTGCCTCTTGTTGACAGGCAGACTAACTTTAGAGTTAGTAATTCATGCTTTAAAGGGTCTATATCTTTTTTGTATTCATTCCCCCCCCTGAGGTCCTCTTATAGCATTTGTGTGGTGAATCTACAGTCTTAATTGTTTTTGACACAACCATTTTTAAACTTCTCTTTGTTTTGTTAGAATGAAACAGGCTGGTTGTAAATGCAAATGATCTCTGTTATGATTGGCTGTCCTGTGTTGTGCATCATTCAAAAACTCTGAGCCAAAACAGTCCTCATAACTTCAGCGTGAATGTGTGGAGCTAATCTGCTGTAGGCAGAAAAGACTTGCATATGTAAATGCTTTAGTCTAGCATCACAAAAACATTCAATTTAAATAGGCTGTTTTTGCAGCTTAGATTCCACATTTGGATCTTATGGACTCAGACATGAACAGAAACCTAATAAATGTCTACATACTACTTCAAATTTGTCTCATAAAAACAAGGAAAATGTATTGTTTCATGATATGAGCGACTGCAAGAAAGGAACAAAGGGGCCAGACAGAGAAACATCATGTCATTTATAATTTTAAGCACAGTTTTACATATTCTACCTCGATGTGTGTGATGTGAAGTATTTAGGTCTTTGGAACGTATTTGGCTGTTTTTTTTTCCGTGTGTGTATGTGTCTGTTTTGTACACACTTGTAGTATGAATGTAGTTATTCATCTTAACCTATTCATGTCCAACAACTAAATGTAGTATAAGGAAAAATGCCACAGCTTGTTTTGATTGGTATAAAGTGATGAAATGTATGTTTACCTTGGATGAACATCTAACTGCACCCTTTTGAATTTTTTGATTACACACAATTTTCAGTTTTACTTTTTACATTTACTTTTATCACATTTTGTATTGTGCTGGTTGTCCCATGTGCCAAAAAAGCATACTTTTTATAATAAATTAAAACGGATTAAAATTCTATGTGATTGGAATCTAATTTATTTGATTTTTTTTTCTGATTTATAATCAGGCAAGCACAGAAAACATATAGACTTGAGGAAATGTAACATGTCAGATATGGACATTAAGGGGTTAAGCATGCTATTAACTACAATTAATTACTTGTAGTTTCATTCCAAAATGCTGTTTATCCATTTGTAACAAGAAGAGTCTTGGCTGATTTTGTCAAAAAGACAAAAAGACATTTCTAATCATCTAGTAATGGTATTAATTGTAATATAGCATTGATTTCCTCAATACTATATTATGCTATTATGTTTCAATGCCAAATTATGCTATATTATATTCTTCAATTGCCCTGCGATGTATTAGCGACCTATCCAGGGCGTATCCTGCCTTCCGCCCAATGACCGCTGGGATAGGCTCCAGCACCCCCCTGCGTCTTAGAAAATGTGTGTGTGTATATTCGTCAATGAAAATTCATGAAAGTGTCGTTTAATAGAACGGCACTCTTCATTTGGTGGCTGCTATGAAAACAAAATGTAAGGAATATAGTTGTCTGTTGTGTCGTCCTAGTTATGGATTCTTAGGGCTTTTGGGGACTTAAACATCTTGAATTCTTATGTAATTACAGTGATATCATGACTGTTCTCTGCAGACCCTGTTGCAAAGTGTTTCAGAGATAAAACGTCCTCAGGACTAGTTCCATTGTAATATGTTTAATTACATATTGCACCTCGGGAGTTAAAGAAGGATTCATAATTCACCAGGCTTTATTAAAAACTGAGCTCTGGACATTATCTTTTTAAAAGTGAAATGACTCAGAGTGTTACTATTCTGTTGTTAAAGCATTTGGATTAAAAATTGTGAGTTCTTGTCCTCCAGAGTTCTTTGAGGAGTGTATCTGTGCAGCGGAGATTGAGGCCAAGCTGCCCGCCATCATGAAGAACGCTGTATATCTGCATAAAGCTGCTGCTCGCCGCATCAAGAGCTGTCGAGTCCAGAGACATGCCTCCAGGCAACACTGGCGTGAGTCTCTCTCTCTCTCTCTCTCTCTCTCTCTCTGTCTCTCTCTCTCTCTCTCTCTCTCCCTCCCTCTCTCTCTCCCCTGCACACTCATTCACACTGTGACATATTAGTGTTACTTAATGTTCCACTTGGAATCATAAAAGGAAATTTTATATTGAATCACCTAGAAAAGCAATTGAATACTGTTGAACTGGCATTATGATAGACTATTTTCTGGTGGTGCGCTCCGGCGCCCTCATTAAATTCAGAGCTAAATGTAATGATTTCAGTCAGCGAAATGAACTCATTCCACTGGCTTAACTCCCACTCCACCCCCACCCCCCGCCTTCTTGTCCTCCATTTACTCCTGTGTGCAGTGAAACACTCCAAGTCATTTGTCTGCCCACATGGCGAGGCTCCCAGCCTGGAGGACCTGAAAGAGACTGCCCGGCGTCTGACCTCAGACAGCTGCTTTAGACAACGCGTCTACACGATCATCACCCGCCAAGACACAGTACAGTCTCAAGACTGAGAACAGTATGACGTATTGACAGGTAGGGGGTCCTTAAAAAGGTGAACACCTTCACTGTGGTTCACTTTAGTCCACAAGAGTGTAAATCCACTGTTGAAAGATGCTCCAAAGAGCAGTTGTAGAATCAGTTACAGTGTAAACGGTTAAAGGGGCCATATTCTGTGTTTTCATTTATTCTTTTTTCCCTGACGTTCAATTGTAATGTTTGTGTTACGAGTATGTCATAATTCATTTTTGCATGACTATTTTCCAATCTCTTTGTCCCTTAGATTTAAACAGACCATTTTAATTCCGATTGGCTGTCATTTAAATCTGAGCTGTGTGAGGGTTACACTGCTGTAGACTGAAGGGACAGTCATATGTAAATAACATCATGGTTGTGATGTCACCACCATGATACAACCCCATTTCCAAAAAAGTTGGGATGCTGTGCAGAATGTAAATAAAAATACAATGCAATGATATGCAAATCATGTAACCTATATTTGTAAAAGAAAATACTACAACATATCAAATGTTGAAACTGAGAAATTTTATTGTTTTTGAAAAATAAATGCCCATTTTGAATTTAATGCCAACAACACATTCCAAAAAAGTTGGGACAGAGGCATGTTTACCATCACGTTTTCTTTTAACAACACTCTGTAAGCATTTGGGAACTGAGGAGACCGACGGCTATAGTTTTGAAAGTGGAATGTTTTTCCATTCTTCTTTGATATAGTATTTCAGCTGCTCATCAGTTCAGGGTCACCTTGTTCTCATTTTTCAATTCATAACGCACCAAATGTTTTCAGTGGGTGACAGGTCTGGACTGCAGGCAGGCCAGTTTAGCATCCAGACTCTTTTAATACAGAGCAATGCTGTTGTAATAATTGCAGAATGTGGTTTGACACTGTCTTGCTGAAATAAGCAAGTCCTTCCCTGAAAAAGACGTCATCTGGATGGCAGCATATGTTGCCAAAGCATGTATATATCGTTCAGCCTTAATGGTGCCTTCACAGATGTGCACAGCACTCATGCCATATGTACTAATGCTCCCCTACACCATCATGAATACTAGCTTTTTGCACTGATAACAAGCTGAGTGGTCTTTAGCCTGGAGGACAGAGTGTCCATGATTTCCAAAAAGAATTTGAAATTTTGATTTGTAGGACCAGAGGACACTTTTCCACTTCACCTCAGTTCATCTTAAATGAGCTCAGGCCCAGAGAAGGTGGCAGCATTTCTGGATCCTGTTTATATGTGGTTTCTTCTTTGCGTTTTAGAGTTTAAACTAGCATTTGTGGATGCAGCGACGAACTGTTTTCACAGACAGTGGTATTCAGAATTGTTTCTAAACCCATGAAGTGATTTCCACTACAGAATCATGTCTGTTTTTAATGCAGTGCAGCCTGAGGGCCCAAAGATCATGGCCAGCAAAACTGGTTTTTGGTCTTGTCCCTTGCATACAGAGATTTCTTCAGATTCTCTGAATCTTTTAATGATATTATGTACTGTAGATGATGAAAAGCAAAAGTTCTTTGCTATTTTATGTTTAGAAACGTTATTCTTGAATTGTTACACTATTTAAACGTGTAGTCTTTCACAGAGTGGTGAACCCCTCCTCATCTTTACTTCTGAAAGATTCAGCCTCTCTGGGATGCTCTTTTTATACCTAATCATGTTACTGACCTGTTGCCAATTAACCACCACGTGTTTTTTTTTTCGCATTACACAACTTTACCAGTCTTTTGTTGCCCCCATCCCAACTTTTTTGGAACTTTGTTGTCAGCATCAAATTCAAAATGGTGATATATTTTTCAAAAAACAATCAAATTTCTCAGTTTCAGCATTTGATATGTTGTCTTTGTACTATTTTCAATTAAATATAGGGTTTAAATAGTTTGCACATCATTGCATTTTGTTTTTTATTTACATTTTGCACAGCATCCCAACTTTTTTGGAAATGGGGTTGTAAATTCAAATAGTTTTGGTGCCCCTGGCCAAACATACTTTACTTATTTTCATTTAAAAAATAAACAAACTTATCTTTTTTGCAAATGCACAATTACTTTACTTATACTTAAATAATTAATCAGGCCTAAACTGACAAGCATAGGGGTGGATCTGTTATGCTTTAGGGTTGTGTGGCAGCCAGTGGCACAGGAAACATTGCACATGTAGATCGAAGATTGGATTCCACAAAATATCAGCAATTTCTGGAAGCAACCATGACACAGTCAGTCAAGAAATAGAAGCTGAAAAGAGGCTGGCTTCTACAAAATATCACAGAACTAGAACTAGGAACGTGGAAAAACTTACGTGAAGAACAGAAAACCCTAAAGCAAGAACAGAAAGACTAGCTGGCTACAAAAAGCCTTTGCAAGCTGTGATTTCTGGCAAAGAGGGTGTTACTAAGTGCTGACTTAGTAGGGTGTCCAAACCTTTGCACATGCCACAATTACTATTTTATTCTTATTCTTTTTTTTTGAGTTTATTTTCAACAGTTAGCTCCACTTCAAAAATCAACAAAATATATAATTTGACCAGGGGTGCCCAAACTTTGTATAGAAATGTAGTTTCCATATATGAATGTGTGGACCAGGTTTGAATGGTACATTTTAAACTTTAACAACATTTATACATAGTACACCAAACTCGTATATTGAAAAAGGCATTTTTTCATTGATATGGCCCCTTTAGGAGGAGCTCCACCACTGTTTCAAAACCAATAAGCCTACAGTATGTTTAGCTTAATGTAACTGAAATCACATAGCAGGTGCAATACAAGGCCAAATCAGTGGACTGGAAGCAGCAGATTGCTTAGAGCTACTGTCTATTTATTAGGGTCATCATCTGTTTGTTAGGATCAGCATCTGTTAAAAACTTCTGTTTTTGACTTTCCGCCACCCAGAATGTGTTGATATATAATCACTTAGTTAAGATGCTAATATTTTGATGACAAGTAAAGGCTTTTGTAACTGCTTGAAAAATGGCAGGCAGCCTACATAATGTTTCTGTTTTAATGCAGAAGATCTAGAAAATATAAAGTGAGCCAACTGCATGATCCTCTTTTGTTTCAGTTTAAAACATATGTACTGTATTTTCCCTTAAGAGTATTAAATTAGATGTGAAATGTTAACATGTGATGATATCTCCAATAAACAATCCAAAAAAGACTGGACACGTAATACCACTCATGAAAAAGATCTGAGTTTATTTTTCTTTCATCATTCTTACAGTGTGTCCTGTTCAAAAAACAGCATTTGTAATTTTAAATAAATCAATCTGTATGTCGCTGCTTGTGCACTTCCATGGTTTTGTCGTACTGGTAAAAGCTGAAGAGAGTTTAATCTTTTTACTCTTATGACGATCAGCAACAAAAAGAGCAAAAGTGTGGTGCTAGGCCAAAAAGTATAGCACCTCAACTGACACACTTGTAATATTATCACAATCTGTCAGGCTAATTATACAGCAGATACTATTATGGAATATTTCAGTCTACCTATTGTGAGAACCAAATAATTCCAGGTATAATAACATTTATTAATCATTCTTTTGGCTTTGCTCTACTTTGCTCATAAGGGAATATAAGATATGTATTATATGTATATGCATTACTCACATTTTCACTGTACATCTTGAAAATACCCTGTATTGTCAATATAAACTGCAAAAGCATAATGCATGATATGAAATTAAGCCTTATTTTACAGCATACATTTTTCACCAAGCACCACTTTTTTGCTTTCAGTTAGCCATCCTCAAAACTGTAACAGAAATACAGAAATGAATGGCTCAGAAATGAAAATGTACAGATGAAAAAGGTATTTCCAATTATTTGTCCTGTACTGTTTACATCAATGGCTGTTTCTGTAGTTGCTCTTCAAAAAATATATGGTTTTAATGCTTATCAAAGTCACATTTAAATCACACTTAGCTTAATCACCAGTTATACAGGAGAGGAATACGGGATCACAGGCATTCTAGCGTGTTCACTGGGGACAGTCTGTCAGATGAGTTGATGGATGCCATCTTCATCATCATCTCCACTTCTATATAAACATGTAGCCTGAGAAACAAACCAGATCAGTCTCTTAATATTTACGTTTTACCGAAATAAAAGTTACAGATCCATTAACAGATGAATTGGAATGTGACTATGTTATTCATGGGTTGAATCCAGGGTCGTTGCTTGCTAGTGGTATAAGCTTGGGCTGTGCAGTATCCACTTTTTTAATACCTTCAAATCGTCTCCAAATATTAACCCAGTATAGGCCATTATCTGGGAGGGAGGTGGGGGAGGTGTCGTAAGTGACGCGAAAGCATTGATGATGCTTTTTTGCCGTCTCATCATGCTTTATTTCAAAATTGGAAAAAATCAAAGATGGCTTACATGGTCAGTAAATAGGTGAACACTGCATTATTTTCAAAGCATAATTCAATAACTGTCAAACCATCTATCAAACAACTAACAACTGATAAAAGTTAAACAGTGCTGCTAACAAGGACACGAGGGGCTGGTTGGCACTTGCTAGCTAGCATGATAACAGTTCTGTTTACCAAAGAACATCTGGCTAACTAAAGCACTGACACAAGTTTAGATGATGATAAGTCAAATCTGAGGGAGTGAAGTTGAGCAACTGGCACAGAAGGGACATAAAGGCAATACTAAACTTGTTCTGTGGTGTTTGAATATGTAGCTTGATCGGCTAACAATGTTAGCTTAGTGAGCAGGCTACAGACCATAACGGTACCAACGGCCAAACGTGCCACACAGCACAGGCTTGGTTCCGGCTAACTGATGCTAAAATTAGAGGATATCTGAGAGCGCAAAGTCCAGTGACTGATGTTAGAGTGAAAGCCGACATCAAATGTGTTCTTTGGTGTGTGTAGCTCTTCGCTATCATTGCGCCGCTATCTTGCTTAGTTTTTCTGAGCACTGCTAGAAAAACCAGCATAGACCAGCAAAAACAGCATATGTTGTGTTTTGGACGCTGGTATGCTGGTCAACTAGCATGAACATTCTGAGTGACCAGCTGAACCAGCACTAGATGAGCATTTCAGAAGGGAGGTTTTTCCTGGCTCTGATTTTTTCCCTCTTTCTGTCAGCACCACCTATTGGTGAGCTCCCACACCACCCATCAGTGACCAGTAAAACATTAATAAGTAGTATGTGTTCATTTGGCCATTCAGACACGGAATGGAAATCGGCCACATTATAATTTTGAAATAATGCCATCATTTTTAAATACTGTGGGTATACCTTTTTACTGTTACACTGTCCAACCCTAGTATAAGTGGTCATTTAGGGACCCAAACCACGAGGGCCCCATTAGTATGTAGTACACTGACAGAAAAATATCTTATGAGTATGTAGTATATATCACTGAAAATTGATTCATTTGATCTATATAGACAACTAAGTGGTTTAAAGATTCTATTTCCCCTTTAAATATAATTATTTAGTGTATTGATGTTTTACTCTGTTTATTAAACTTTTTTCCTGAGTAAACCTCTTTTTCATTCATCTATATAAAGTATGATTTAGGTGGCCCCCAATATTCAGATTTGATGATTTGATGAGTTGTCTTCTAACAGTGGAAGGATGAAGACAACACCTATGGATTTTTTCAGATCTGAGGCAAGAGTGAAGTTTGAAGTAAAACTTTAAGTACTGTTTATAAGATGGGGACAGTTTTGGTGGTCTACCAGGTAGTGCACTTGTTTGGAGTCCTATTTTCTCTGTACTTTTTAATATTGTTTTGCAAATTCCTGTTTTTTTTTTTTACTCATTTTCCTTTGGCTTTTTCATTCCGTATGTAAGTGGATTATCTCCTTAGAAATATTTCCTGAAAATGAGTAACTTACTTAAATGATGCTTTGACTGGAAATTAAATGAATTAAGAGTGGTCTCTGACTTTTGTGCAGTACTAAATACTGCCATGTCCTACTGCAAATGTGACATGCATAATGACAAAAACTGCTATAGTAGGGACCTTACATTGAATTTACTTGATTCAAATATGTGCATTACTTCTTTACAAATAAGATATATTACATCAACACAGTTACTGCCCAAAAGAAGTATGCTGAAGGACAAAATCATGATGATGTAATATGTTTTATTTATATACTGTTTATTGGCCTTTGCACAGGAGTGGCCCTGTCTGTGTCCAAAGCCAATTTCCTTCACAGACGATAAAACAATGAAGTTCATCTGATCTAAACTGAATCCAGTAAATTAAGTGCAAGATTTTTTTCAGCGTATCTACAATCCTTTATGCTTAAATTTGAACTGATTGTGACTCAAAACATTCTTAAATTTACAAAACAGTCTGCATGCAGTAGGATTATGTATCTAATTTACTAAAATAAATTTGAAATAAATGTTTCACCCTTTTCCCCTCAATCTGGATTAAAGAATGGTTTAATGCCCATGACACAAGGACAGTGAAGCCGGGATCATGCTGGGTCATGCTCTGATAGGATTTCACTGGTAGTCATGTCCAGGAATGCAGAGTGCAGTGCTTTACCACAGATATCAATCTAAGCCGTCCTCCAATCCTGCCATCTAAAAATGGGCCAGGATGAGATGGCACTTTCAGCTTTGCGTGGTGAGAAAGAGCTGTGTAAGGCTCCGCCCACTCCTCCCTCACTGGCAACCCGCTCACATTCCCATGATCCCTAGTGATTTCATCAAAAGCCTGGGCCACCGGCTCTATCGCACATTGCTATGGCAACTACTGTATAAAAGTGCAATTCATTATCCACACTCTTGCTGTCTTGCTTTTTTCAGTCAATGAAAAAAGAAACTGTGCAGTCATTCTTTATCTGTTGCAGATTTGTTTGGATAATTTGGCTGGAATTATCTGACTGCAGGTAGGTTGCTTCTGTTTGCATGGAGGTCACACAATGCAACTGAATTGGTATTCAAATAGTGAACAGTACACTCATGCTCTACAGACAGACGAGTGGTGTGACTGAGCTGGGAGGAATGTAGGGTGAAAAGATAAACAGAAATTTGCTTTAGAGAAATACAGGTCAGTTCAACAAAAAGGAGCAATTCCTTGATGTGATGTGATGATTAAGGGACAATTAAAGGAATACTCCAGCATTTTTCAACCTGGTCTCTTTCTGCAGCAGCAGGGAAACCTCTGAGAATTTTAAGCTTAAGAGAATGCCGAACGATTCCTTAGAAATAATAAATCTTTAATTTTTATTTCTATTTAATACAATCACTATGCTTGTTAAAAACTTTGGAAGTATTGTACGCTTTGATTAGAAACAAAATCTTTACCTTCTTTATATGCCCAACAGAAAACCATCCAATCAGGCCAGGAAAAACTCTGTGTTATCTAGGTACAGTTAGGTGAGCTCTCCCATTGGTTAGGACTTCAGGAGCTGTATTGAAGGCCTAATGTGTCAGATTAACTATTAAAATAATTAGGTACTGAAGGAATGTACTTCTGTGTTACATGCTTATACTGCTGTGTTATATGCTATTATATTCAGTACTGTGCATGTGGTATGAGTTTGTACCTAGAACATTCTCAGAACTGACAGTGACAGACAGATAGCACTGACTGCGAGTTTGACCGTTAGCCTAATGAATGCACTTTGGTCAGATGTTATAAATGGAAAACAGCGGCACCTCTATGCCAGGGCTCTTTATTGAAGAAGCCACTGCAAAACTGCTATAAGGTGAAATATATGTTGATGTCTGTTATAAGCTTAAAGTAAAAAGCGGAATGACCTTTACAAGCTTCAAATGTGTTCCCGTTAACGTAGTGCTAATAAACTACTAGAATCTCAAAGTAGAAATTACCATTATCATACAGGTGTTTTTTCTAGGTTTTGGCCGAGTTTGGGGATTTGTAAACCCAACTGAAGGCCTAGCTCTAACAGTCACGGTTCCCCACTGATCTGTAGCAGTAGCCGTGGAATATCACGGACATTAATTATCCTGTACTTAGAAACAAACAGAAAATCCACTGCTTTTGGGGGATCAAAAACACTTATCATATAAGCTAGTGGACGGCTGTTTCAGCACCTTTCCATTGATTATAAGAGTGTTCTGAGTCAGCGGGTTGTCTTTTTCTTTACACATTGTACAGGAAAATGCGTCAAACTTTTTGTATGTGGTAATCAACCAAATGATACAGATGTGGCTGATAGAGATTCAGTTGAAAATGCTATAGCATTCCTTGAAGCAGATAAAAGTAGAACATACCTGATTCTGACACAATGCAGAATGTCAAAGCAGGCTCATGGATCCTGATGCTGAACCAAGGCTTAACTGCTTCATCAGCAGCTGGACTGTGCTGAGATCACTCTTCTCCATGTCACCACTCAAGACCCGCTCTGTCAGCACTTCACTGTTGTATAACGCACACAGGCAAGTCACGGTTTGTGGTCAGCAAAGATTTTACAAAAGGAAATCTCTAGGACTTCTAGCAGGGTCGTGCATTCAGTTCAGTCTTATGAAATGGTCTGCCTTCTCTTTTGTTGCTCTTTAACAAAATACACCGTCAAAGATGTAACGGTGGCCAGCTCACTAGTAAACATTTATCTCTTTAGAAACAGTCCTTGGTTCAATTTGGCTATTTGCCAAGTTAAAAAAAATAATAATAAAATAAAAAAAAAACAAAAAACAGGCATGTCCTAGCAAACAACTCATCCACACAATCACAAAGCACTGAGGGCCCAGGTAATAAAAATAAAGGGAAAATACTTCATAAATGATAAATGGTCCAGCAATTGGGAATAACCATGATTCAATGACATGAGATATGATACTTGAGGACACATCCAGCTTTGCTGTGGGCCTACTTCAGTGATGAGGCTACCATGGAAGCTCAAGCAGCTCATTACCAGCAGCAAGTAGATGGGAAGAGTAAACAGTGTTCATCTCACTTTTCGTCCAAACTAGCCTTTAACTGCGCCTCCAGTACCATCTTGTCAAACGTACGCATGTTTGTTTCTTCTCGCACTCGGTCTCTCACATGGAAGGAGGCACGTGCCACTGACCGGGCACTTTCTAGCACGGCACGCTTTTCACGGAAAATCTGTTCACTTTTCTCCAGTTTCCGCTCAATGGACTGCAGCAGCTCAAGCCGCCTCTGCTGCTCTTCTTCCTCCACCTTCTGACGATTCAGCCTCTGAAGACGCTCTTTCTCCAGCCTGCTCTGCACTGCGCGCTGGGCCTTCTCTCTTGCCCTGTCCTCTGCAACTTGTGCGGCCTGCTGCGAGCGCTTTTCCGCCTCCCTTGCGCGTGCCTCCATCTGTTCTTTCTGATGCCGCTCGCGTTGCTCAACGACCTTCCTCGCTTTCTGGATCTGCTGTTCCTCACGCTTGGCTTTCTCACGCAGTTCCTGTCCTCGTCGTTCCTGGATCTGCTCGTAGTTCTCCAGGGAGCGGCTCAGCTTCTCTTTCGCCAACCTGCGTGCTTCCTCACGTTCGTCTGCCTCACGCCGTGCAATCTCCTGGATGAGGGCCACATGGCGCCGCTTCTCTGCACGGTTGAGCCCACGACGCTCCTCTTGGATCTGGTGCTCGCGCTCTTGCCTCTTCAGTTCTGCAATGGTCAACTTCTCCTTGAGAAGCAGCTTTTCCTGCTCCAGTATGGCAGCACGTTCTTCTTCCATGACTCTGAGGTTCTGTTCCTGTGCGGCCTTCTTCTGCTTCTCCTCACGAGCAGCCTGCTGAAGTTTCTGCAGCCTGCTTCGTTCCTGTTGCTCTGCTAACTCTCTCCAGCGCTCCTCGCTCTCCGCCACTTGCCGTAACTTGGCAGCCGCTGCTTCCCGTTCTTGCTGGCTGAGTCGGCGCTGCCTGGTAGAAACTTGAGATTGCCAGGCTCTCTGGCACTGCAGCATGACCCGTTGCTTCTCTCGTTCCTCACGTTCACGCCGCAGTTCCTCCAGCCGGCGTTCACTGTCCCACTGTAAATGTGCAACATAACGTGTCTGGCTCATAATATCCTCCTCTTGGTACCTCGCTAGCATGAGTGCCGCAATCTTACGGTCACGCTCTGGCACGGCCTTGAGGCCACGTCGTTTGACCTCTTTCACGATGCGCTCCACCTTCTGCGTAGTCTGTGGAGAGTGGCTCAGATCTCCCAAGCTTAGGCTTCGACCCATCAGAGAGTTGAACGTAGCTAAGGTACGAGCACGAGGACTGGAAGTTTTACCCCAGTAATCTCGAGTTCCGTCCCAGCTGTAAGAGGAGGATGCTGACTCTGAAGAGGCACAAGTGGTTGTAGCTGTGGTAGTGGTCGAAGTAGTAGAGGAGCTAACTGTTTCCCGTCTTCTTTGTAAGGATTCTAGAGAGTGGCTTCTTTCTCTGACTTTTGATCTGGACATAATGTGTCCATTGTGCTGGGCAAATGGACTAGTGATGCCATTGGCAGGACTTTGTGCTGCAGATTTTGATACAACTGGTGCCAGTGATGTTGGCATCCTTGGAAAAGAGGAGGGCTTTGGTGTTGATCTAGGGAAGGTATTCGAAGACTTTGTGCTAGAAGTCTTTTTGGATACGGGTGCCCCGGTTGTTTGCTGAACTGGTTTTGCATGTATGGATCCTTGAGTTTTTACAGCCGCTTCAGTAACAAGTGACTTCGACTGCTTTACTGTGTGGCCAGAACTTACTGGATTAGCTTTTATGGACTGAGCTGGACTAGATTTAGGGGAGGAACTTGCACCTGTGGCAGGCGTTTTTGATAAAGATTCTGAGCTTTGAGGCGTGCTTTTTGAGATGGGACGTGAAGATGCCGTTTTTGACGGACCACTGCTAGCAGGTGACATTTTGGGCACAGGGCCAGAGCTAGCAGGACTACGACTGCTTTGCTGAGACAATCCAGCATTGTTTGTATCTTGAGGCTTCTCTGAAGCCACTGATCTGCTGCTGTTGTTGAGCGCTGCCTGAAGGATCCTTCGCTTTTCCTCCTGAACTATCCTCTCGCGTTCCTCCCTGCACTGTCTCAGTTTAGCATGTCGGTCCCTCTCGTACACCTCAAACATCCCTGTGGCTACACGCATGCTACGGCCAGGTGCCTCACGAGCAAAGTCAGACAGCGGTCGAGGCAGGAGCTCCACAGGTTTGACTCCACATCGTGCACATGCCTCAAGTGAACGAGGGCTGGTGAGCACATAGCGGCTGCCTTCTGCGACTGGTGAGTCGAAGTTATACAGGTCCAGGTGCAGTTTAGGGTGTTCGGATTCACTGTTTGGTGGTCGGCTAACTTGAGGGCTCTGTTCTGGTTCAACTCTCGCTTCTTCTTCCGTGCTGCCATGAGTAGCCTCTTCTTTTTCTCCATCATCACCCTGCTCAGGTAGACAAGGTGCTTCAGAGGCTGCAGCTGGGGTCTCAAGCTGAGTGTCTCTGATCTTACTCTGGTCCTCTGGTTCCAGTGGATCCACCATGGTGGGCTGTAGAATAAGGTGAATAAAGGTGAGTAAAGAGGAAAGACAGCTTATTTGCTACTCGTACTTCAGTGATGGAAGTGTATCAAACAGACAGATTTTCAGGCGAGAATCACAGGGATTATATTGTTCTGGCTAGATCAGAGCTTAAGGCTGATGCAATCCAAGGATAAGGGATGCGGCCCAGCTTGCACATGCATTTTTACGGTCTAATGTGCTAGTAAGGCCTAGCCGCCTCAGGATAAATGCATAAGTCTGCATGCACAGTGGGCAACAACAAGGGTGATGAAGTCATATGTGTGCTATTTTTGGAGTCACTGGATTCTAAACATGTTTAACATTATCTCTCTATCTATCTATCTATCTATCTATCTATCTATCTATCTATCCGTTCATCCACAGCATCCCCCACTCGACAGTTAGCACACACAATCTACTCCACATCAATGCGTCAGAAGACACTCGCGCGTAAACGAATTATATACGCTATAATAAACACCATTTGCGTTTTCTGCGTTCATCCCAACGAAAAGCATCTTAATCTCGGATTTAGCCTAATCTAGATTATATATCATAGGTGTAAATTTGCCACACTAAACAGGTTACACGACATATTGTTTATATTTATTTAAAGTGGACTCAGATCGCACGAAATGAAGCTTGTAAACATCCTAACGTGAACCATCTTGCCAAACAGGCCCAGCACTGAGACCCACAACTGCAGCACCACGGCAAAGCCGTTCCTGACAAACAACACTCAGATCAGTGTTCATGAGAAGAAACGGTATCAGAAATACGTCTCAAGCCACAACTGACCTCTCCGCTCGCCGAATGTTTTCAGAACTGTGATGATCTGATCCAAGCAGATGCATGCAGTCCCCCTTCCACCCTGCATAATAACCGTGGGGGGGGTTACAGGGGGTGCATTGCGCTGGTGTTCTTCCTCCTGAGCTGAATGAATCACGACTCTCACTCGAGTTCAAATGGATAGCAAAATCGCAAAATCTGTCAAAGGTCTCAGTGGCGGCAGCTCGTTTATGGTCCTTTTCCTCTTCCCTCTTTCTCGCATCAGTCTCCTCCTGGCGCTATTTTTTTTCCTCACACACCTGTATTCCGCCATTCCCGCCTCCTGCGAGCTGATTGGCTAGTTTCACAACTCTTTCTACGTCGAGATTGGCCAGTAGTATCCATATTTCAGCGCAGCCCGCCTCCTAACCAATCCTAGCGCAGAGACGGGTGCTACTGACCAATCGCAGCTCAGGAGGCGTGGCTATCCGGAACACGGGTGGGAAAAGCTCAAACGCCTCCACCTGCTGTTCGCCGTTCGCATCTCCTGCGTCCATGCTCCGCCTCTCTGTGACAGAAGGCTAAAAATATCGAGCACTTTCTCCCCTTTGTCAGTTCAATATGGCCCCTTCATTCACTCGCTCTCGGGATGCGGGAACAGGGTTAGTTAAACTAATGGCCAATGTTCCCCCTGTTTTTATTAATGAGATGGGACGTTCATCAGTGATGTATATATCTGACTCAGGCTGTAAAATAATATAATAATAAGAAAACAAAGCGAAATTATCCTATAGCTTACAGATTTGTCTGCACGTGAGACAGATCTTTTCAGAGACCTGTGTTTGGAGCATCATATAGGGTCATTAAATATAAACGGGGGTTCTGGGGGTCCATAACTAAGTTAAACCTAATTTCCAGGTAATCTGAACCTGCATCAGTAGATCGTTTTCTCTTCCTGCTTTCAGCCCAGCGCAACGGATGTTGTAGTCAGCCAAAGCATACACAAGGGGGCGCCAAATGCTCATGACAGCACATGTGAAAAGCCTTCTTGCTTCAGTTCTGCTCCAGGTCAGTGTTATTCTCCCTAGTGACTGGACTGGATCTCACAAAGCAGGACTACCCATTTGGCCAGATAACGTAAGCCCAAATATCAAGACTGCCAAGTAGTATAAAAGATAAGGCACAGTCTTACTAAACAGTGCTCACTTTAGGGCTATATTTGCCAAAGCACTTGATTCTGGTTTTGTGATAAACCCTGCAGCATCACCCAAATTCAAATATGTGTACCTCTAATCTCCTAGCCATATTTTAATGGACCGATGCTAGAAGAGGTGCTCGAATTCATACGTTTTATTATTTTATTACAGTCCACTGCAGTATTTTTGGTGGCCTCCATAAAAGAACCATGAGTTGCATTTTTTGTCCACCGAATGCATTAGAGGAAGAGAAATTCAATCCAATTCGTTCTTTTGTTTTGTCAACATGCAAAATGATTCCAACAATCTGAGCATGTATAAATATTTTTTTCCAATAGACCAGGAACCCATGATTGCTGTTTATATGATTGTGAGAGTTCTCTCCAGTAGGGATGCCCCAGAGAGTGGACCAGGCAACCAGCTGTAAACTGTTGTGTTCTGTGGTCTCGATGGGATCATATTTGAAATTCAGTGAAATGGATACAAGGTACACGTCCTTGGACTGTATTTCAGTGAGGCTGGTTATTTACCTCGTTATCTAGAGCACAGACAGCACGTAGTAGTGCTCAGAGAGGCCATGCATGCATGTAATTTAGGTACAGTGACTAAATTATTAGTGTTATTAATTATCTAAGCCACTTATCCTCCTATCCCTGTGCTTATTAGGCAGTAGGCAGGAAACACCCTGGACAGGCCGCTAGTCCATCACAGGGCAGACAAACGGACATACACAGTCTCACACACACACACACACACACACACACACACACACACACACACACCTAGGGGCAGTTTAGTATCTCCAACTGGCCTGACAGCATGTCTTTGGAGGAAACTGGCGCACCCATTGAAAACCCATGCAGACACAGGGAGAACATACAACCTTCACACAGAAAGGACCCTGTTCGCCTGGCTGAGGAATCGAACCTAGACCATTCTTGCTGTGAGGTGACAGCGCTACCCACCGCACTTGAAAAATTAGTAATTTCTTTGTAATTGAACCCTTTTATTCTCTGTCTTTCAATACATCACCTGATTGATCAATTAAACCATGTGGATTATTCCAGAATGAAGCTATTCATTAGTTAGATAAATCAAGTCATTATCTAAACTGATTTTAAAGTGCTTGGTTTATTGCAGCCTAGTTATTACATATGTTCATACATTTGTCTTTCACTGTGCCTTTAGGGCCACCCTGTGAGTGCAGGCAGCCTGTGGCCTTAGGGAACTGGATTAGATAACTGGTGGAATCTGTGGTGGTGACCCACTAAACTCTTGACCTGTTGGGGGAATAGTGCGAGTTTAATTGACCCCGCCCGTGGGCTATATCAGAGGAGCAGTGCGTAAGAAGTGACAACAGGGAACGTGCTGGCTGCCTTGTAAATTGGGGGCATGGGATCTGGCAGGGGGTTGCAAGGGGTGCAGCCACTGCACAGTTCACTGGTGCAGGGGTATGCCCCCGGAGCTGGACTGGGGGGTCATGGAGAGGTGAGTTGCATGGTGCAGTTATGGAACTCAGAGACAGACCAAAGGCTGAGTGGGTGTGTTCCCACATTGTAGTCCAGACTTCACATTGTATTCAAGAATGTTTGATGTTTTTTTTTGGTGGCTTTTGATGTTTTGCTGGCCTTGTTGAACTCAATGCCTGTAAATCACATAAATCACTGATATAATATTGGTTCCCTTACATAATTCTACACACTCATCACATTTACAACATGGTTCTTTAAAGAATAATTCACTGAAAAGTTATTTAGGTACCTTTTTAAGTATGTAGAAAAGCTAACTAACTGAATAAATTAATTAAAATGGTAAATATGTGGAAGACAAATAAAGCAGAACTATCTTGCCAGCCTTAGGACCCTGTGTCCTCTAGGCAGGCTTGTCCTCGTGAAGACCGGGACCTTTGCTTGCCCCCAGTTCACATTTCCAGCTTGGCTTTGCCAACAGCAAGGGCCACGTTTTCCTGACAGTTTTGACAACTCACAACTCTGTGCTCCTAACCCCTCGCCCCCCTGCGCCGGAGCTGGCACAGAAGGAGTGAAGCCCCTCACTGGTGGGGGAAAGGTCCCAGAGACCAAGCTGTTAATTCAATCAGGAGGGTGGTATGCTCAATTAGGCACCCATAAGGGCCCAGGAAGGGTCCTGGGGCCCAGCGGAGGGCAGGCAGCCCTACCCCTGAGAGCCATTAATTGTGGATGACAGTGTATAAACAGTTGGGTGAATAGGCGGCGCAGGTGTTGGACACCCAAGCCCTGTCTCAATGGCTCTTTTCACACCCGGAATCCCTCTGTACTCACTCACTCACTCACTCTCACTTACTCTCGCTCACTTATTCCTTTCTTAACACATGATGAGGTGCAAGAATGATGAGGTTGGGGAGCTCTTGTGTTTGTGTGTTAGTATTCAAAAGTGTTGATATATACTCTTTAAAGTATCAGTGTCAACAAGGGGATATTTGGATGATTCTTTGTGGAACTATATTTGGAAATGAGATATGCAAGTGTAAGAAACTACACTTGCATATCTCATTTTAACCCCAGAAAATTCCAGACTTATTACATCTTGAGACTTATTATTCAGTAAGTACATGGGCCTATATCCTACATTTCTGTTGTATGAGGTAAACATTTAACATTTGTCTGCTGTTATATAGTAAAACTAGTCATAATTTATTTTTACATGATCATCGTCCAACTTCGCTTCATTCTTTACAATTAAACAGTTTGTTTTTGTCACTGTGCCTTTAACACTGATTTATGTAAATGACCTCTGTTCTGACTGGCTGCCCAGTATTGCGCCTCATTTAAAATACAGGCTGAAACACTCCTTATAACACTGATGAATAGGCGGAGCTTAACTGCTGTAGGCTGAATAGGTGGCTATATGTAAATGCTTTGCTTTTTTGTGACATCACAAAAACAATTAATTCAAAATAGCCTGTTTAACAGCATAAAGAAAGTAATGTAAAGGTCTACTTACTTTCCCTAGAACTGTATGTTTGAGCGAGGACCATTTAGACACCTTTATTTTTAAAAGCGTACTTGTTCAGGCTTTTTTTTTAAAGCTAAAGATGAATGGATGGATGTTTTTTTGCCTGGTTTGGAATGGATGGGCTCCACTGATCCAGGATTTAGAGCCCACTGCAACCAGTACATGTAAAAGATGTGGAATTCATCAAATGAAAGCCAGATGAGAGACTTTAAAGGGAGTGGGCTCTCCTTCTGACCTCACATTTTTCTGTGTGAAGTCTCCCCTGTCTGTCCATCTTTCCCTTTCTTCTCCCACCTTTCTCCTTTTCTTTTGTTCTTACGACAAGGAAGAGTGAGTTCAAGTTGGTATGGGTAATGAATACAGAATGAAATGCTTGAGGCCATGAAATCCTGGCGATGAGGAAGGTGCCCATACGAACCTTCGTCTTAAAAAATTCGCAAGCCTTCAAACGCACGGTATTCAAGTTAAAGCTGTAACATGTTGACACATCAAAGACAAGTTTTTTTAAGTAGAAAAGAAGAGCATCTGAGAATGTGGTCAGAGCTGTTGCAACTTATCAGGACATTGCATATCACTGTAACGATAATGAAGGAAAATGGACTCCAAACCCGTGTAGAATTGAGATGTTGCACCACATGCTGGTACTGAAGCAGCCTGCAGTATAATTAGAAAGCTGGTGAGGGTATGTGTGCCTCGGAGGGGGTTATTGTTGTTAAAAACGTATTAACAATTAAGGAAACTTCAGGAATCTCCCAGACAGTGTGAAAAAGGCTGGACTGAAAAACTTTCCCCTTGATCTGGCCAAACCACAATAAAGCTTGGTCCAGATGTCTAATTACGCAAGCCACAACTGGGTTTAACAGCAGTGAGAACTACACAGTATAAAATATGCAGGTATTAAGGTCACTTAACATGAAGTGAGCCTGTCATGCTTATCTTAGACATCAAAATAATACACAGGCTGGGGGGGATAGCCTCTCCTCTGTACATTTGTGTTGATTAAAGGCATGCAATGTGCGCAGCCTTGCGATAATTGAACCCAAAACCGGCAGGGTGCCGCTGGCTTGGGCTGGCCGGTCCTGTCTACAGACACCTG